CAGTAACATGACGGTGAAGATTGATGATGAAACATTAACAAAACTTCACATTAGAGGGAACAAGATATCAGTCGATGGAGCTAAAGCTTTAGCTGCTGCACTCATGACAAATGAAACGTTAACAAAACTTGACATTCAAGATAACGACATATCAGTCGATGGAGCTAAAGCTCTAGCTGCTGCACTCATGACAAATAAAACACTAACAACACTTTACATGGGAAAGAACAACATATCAGCCGCTGGAGCTAAAGCTTTAGCTGCTGCACTCATGACTAATAAAACATTAACAACACTTGATATTCAAGATAATGAGATATCAGTCGATGGAGCTAAAGCTTTAGCTGATGCACTCATGACAAATAAAACATTAGCAACACTTGACATTGGATGGAACAATATATCAGCCGATGGTGCTAAAGCTTTAGCTGATGCACTCATGACTAATAAAACATTAACAACACTTGCCATTGGATGCAACAAAATATCAGCCGCTGGGGCTAAAGCTTTAGCTGATGCACTCATGACAAATAAAACATTAACAACGCTTGACATTCAATGTAACGAAATATCAGTCGATGGAGCTAAAGCTTTAGCTGATGCACTCATGACAAATAAAACATTAACAGCACTTGTCATTTTAGAAAACAAAATATCAGCCGATGGAGCTAAAGCTTTAGCTAATGCACTCATGACAAATGAAACATTAACAACACTTTGCATTCAATCTAACGAGATATCAGCCGATGTAGCTAAAGGTTTAGCTGATGCACTCAGTAGAAATAAAACATTAACAACAGTTGACATTCAGGATAACAACATATCAAGTGATGTTAGAGATATTATTTTCCAATGTGTCGCACGAAACAAACTGCTTGAAAGGAATTAGAGGAGTAGATTAATGGAAAGGTGATTTTAAATCTCTTAAACTGTGAAATTGCAGATGTTCGCTGAATTTAGTGTTTAATTCATTGATGTTCTACTGTTTACAGTGTATCTATTTTTGTACTGTTGCGATTTAACCTGATGTGTCCACACGAGGTTGTTCTTCACGCATATACGCTATCGGATAGTCCTCTTCATTTGGCTGTAGATTTTGGATATTCATAATATAATTAGTGATTTCAGTGATGAAATGGATACAATAAATAGCGGCATCACTAAACTAATAATCAAACCAACTGATATGACAATCCAAGAAGAAATTTGTCAAACATATGACGGTGCTGATTTACGACAACTAGAAACATATTTGGAAAAAACAGATGATTGTTGATGATTATCACGAAATCGTTTTTAAATTTTTAATTTCGTTAATGAGCGAGGAACAAAATAACACAACATTAATTCTCGTCGATTCTGAAGAAATTCTTCATTTTCCGTACAAACATTTATCTTTATTTAAACATTTGTTCTATTTACTTTATCCATCGGATAAAAAGACGAAACAATTTTATGTACGAATTGATAATTTTATTGTCACAACTACAAGTGTTCAGTATCATTTATCGTGGTACTATTCAGTTCGATTTTCTTTTCTGCCTGTTAATCGTCTAGCATTAATATTGAGACCTAATAATGATAAACGACAAATGTCATGCATTAATACGAGAAATTCTAACTGCGTACATGGAATTTGTATGAAATATGTGAATTTTGCTTGTGTGTTCAGGGTTGGTCTGGTGATTATTGTGATTTAGGTGCAACAACTTCCATTCCAAGTAGGTGCGCAAACGATTCATTCTTCATGAATGAAAAATGTATTTGTATGCTTGGAAGATTTGGTCGTGAATGTCATCTCCAGTACGATCCATGCAAACATATTATGTGTCAAAATCAAGGAATATGTATTCCACTAGATATTCGAGCATCACCATTTATGTATGCTTGCATTTGTAACCAAGAATATTTTGGTAATTTGTGTCAGTAAAAAGAAAATGTGATATTCGGCAGCTCTAAGTACTTTTTTATAACTGATTCGGAACGACTTTGTTGGATGCCGTAACATCGATTATTAATCGGTATGCCTAATCCAGGTCGAGATATGTTTCCTCACGTTTTTGTGAACGTAAATGACATTCAGGTTAAAAATTTGGAATCCAGTGTATTGTGTAATCACATATTACCCAATATTATTGGATAGCCAATAGTATTGTACAGTATCTTCAGTAATGATTAGTATTGGTGCATGCCTAAGCATACTGACGCCATAGTACTCCATCGAATATATTTTGGGTATTAATACAGTATTTATTTCATATGCAAAACTTTTCTTCTCTACAACATAATCGAAAACTTGTTCTGTAGAATCTATCTTATCTGTTCGTAATTATTCTCTAATGAATCATCATCAATACTTTTTATGACACCTACTTTTATTTTTCTCTCAGGTTCTGTTTCACAATGATTGTGCAATTCTGATGTTTGCTCTTATCTTCGTCTAACAGAGTGGAAAAAATACGTGTGATATATGAATTTTTGCTTATCGTCAGTTTACCAAGACGTGCATTTTATTCTTCCCACGAAAAAAGTTAGTAAGCCTTTTCATTCAATAATCCACAATTTCTTGAACAGACCCACATTCGGTGTAATTAGTAATATCTGTTCAGATAATTTCTACCTTTTGTATTGTTATGGATATCCATTAATTATTGTTATAGATATCCATTAAGGACTTTTGTGATAAAAGTACAACGGACGGTTTCTGCAAGAAAATGACTCTATATATTTTTGAGAAGATAACGACTTGAACTGATTAAAAACTGTTCGTTATTTAGTTTTTCTGCGCCTTAAAAATTGATTGTAGACTACCATATACTAGAATTTTTAATCATTTCTGAGAAACGGTTCAAAAAGTCTGTTCGATCGTATTTATTCATTTTTGTCTGCGAGTCCGATGTTCTTAATAGAATCTTATACACAAAAACATGCGTAATTAAACGAGCTTCAAAATGTTACATAGCACACCTTTTCAAACTAATGACTTCTTAGATGTATTGGACAAATACTTGATAGGTATCTCGATTTTAGCCGTAGTGGCAGACAAAAAATGATTATAGTTTAAAACGGGTTTTTCACAACAGTGCCTCTGGCGAAGTTATATTCATTTCTACACAAAAACAAATGTTGCTACTATGCTCAGCGTAGTCGATTACCTATAGTCCATGGTATTTTGAGATTTCCAGAGGTGTCTGCTCGGAGATAGACACGTGCTCGGGGAAAGCGAGCCCTGCCCGAACGACGATAGCTAGAGAGCCGGACTTGCATAATTTTGTAGAGTAACGTCCGAACTATCTACGCATGCAAAAAAGTTACTAACATTGTATGTTAGTTTTCTGAGAACGAAGCAGGTTTTCCAAAGATCCTCTGAAAACCCGATCTCTGGAATTTTTTCAAAAGTTGCTTCCGCCTGTGAAACTTTCTGCTCAAGTCTTGGCTATTGAATAGCCAAAATATTATCTATGCAGGTAGGTATCTATCTCATTCCTATCAAAAGTTATTCAAAAAGCAACCAGCGGTCTGATCATTTGGAACGGATAGTAGTTAAAAAGCCGTTTCCCCAAAAGACGATTCGCCATGGCGAAATGTTATATGACGTATGTTATAAAGCTTATCAGAACTTTTTGTGTCGAGTGATATTTACCAGCCCCTCCAGCTCGTCAAAGTTCAGAGAATGATGCAGATTTGGTGGTTCTCGGTAACACTTTCTACAGACCGTGATAGGTATCATATGTAGTAATCTGGAGATTTTTTTGTTCAGTTCAATCCATGACTTACTATCACTTTTTGATTCAATATTAAAAAGATCATTCATATTTAATGTTTTTAAGAAAGGACCCTG